TAAATTTGATAGAAAAAAGGTTGCTGCTACAGACACTGGATGTGTTGATGTCGAGAGTGAAAGTGAGTCAGCCCTCAAGAAAGCTATAGCCGAGGTAGGCCCTGTATCTGTAGCAATAGACGCCAGTCATTCATCATTCCAGTCCTATGCAGGAGGTGAGATATAGTTTTAGGGTGTTGAGCAAAGTAGGAATGAAATCATTCTGCAAAGAAAATTAATTACCTATAGGAAAAATGTATTTGAAAAAAAAATTGATTTTATACTGAATTCCAAAGAAATTTTTGTAAAGCAACTATTTCTCAGTTGTTGGAATTGAAATTTGAAAGTTGCTAAGAAAGGAGTGCAATTTAATAGCAGAGATTTTGATTTCCTCTTGTTTGTTTTAGGAGTGTATAATGAGTCAGACTGTATCTCGGAGCAGTTGGATCATGGAGTTTTAGCTGTAGGATATGGAACTGATGATGTGGGAAAAGACTACTGGATTGTTAAAAATAGGTAAGATCACTTTGTCTAGAGTTTGTTTGTCTTTCTTGGAGGAGTCTCATGTTCACCTAAAAAAAGTATAAAACTTTCTTATTATAGATTATATTAAAACTATACATGTCCACCAGGACCTTTAGTTGGTTAATAAACACAGTCTTATTACAAACACATCACCAATAAACTATGAAAATATGCATCCATAAAAGATACAAACATGACATGGAATATTAATGGTTAGTTAAAGTCCCTGATCGTTTTTATAACAAGAAAAAAGTGTGTCCCAATGTAGTAGATGCCCTTGTCATTTTGAATTCAGTTTACTGCTACACTTTTTATTATTGGTGTAAATTAACACGAGTTTTCCACAATATTCAGGAATATCTCAGAATAATACCTGTATTAGGACTATACTTCAGCGGACAGTCTTTTCTAATATAAGGTATAGGAAATTCAAGAAAACCTATTCATCTCTTCATAATTTTTTTTAAAAATAAAAATGTTCATATTAAAGAGAATCCGAAAGGTGGTGATTTTTTTTTTTTAAAAACTTGATTCCTTAGTTATAAATGGATTTTACATTAATCATTACTTATTTATAGAATGTCATACAATATGTAGCTTCCCATATTACCATGGAGTACCTGTTTGATACACATGTTTTTGAATGCACTACTTCTTAAAAGAGTTTAACAAGGAGAGGAAATACATGTGCACTGTCATGTTTATTTTTTGCTTTATCATTTTCTAATAAAGCAGTATTTTTTTACGCGGTTTAACAACACATCATTTTTCACCTCGCATTCATTCCAGAGAGATAAAAAGATAATTCCTGATCATTTCCTTTTGATATTTACCATATACTTGTTTTTCCTGTAGTTGGGGTACAGAGTGGGGGTATGGATGGATATGTCAGAATGTCCAGAAACAAGGACAACCAGTGTGGAATAGCTACACAAACCAGCTATCCTCTTGCGTAAAAACATCCAGTGAGTATTCAATCTTAAACAACAAAATTGGTTTCTTACGAAAGAACACTTAAAGTATAAAGACTTGGCTTGGTAAGAAAATCCATGGTAGCTGTAGTCAAGGTTTTCTCTTTCTTATTTTTTAAGATTTTCTTATTCTCAAAACTACTGATAATTTCTTTCCAGACAATATTTGAATATTTTTTCCATCACGTGTCAATGCCTGTACTTTTTGTTTACAGATATAAAGATAAAGCAATCTCAAGGAAGAAAAACCACTCAAAATAAATCAAAACCATGGAAGCAGATACATTTCTGAAATTTTTGAATAATAGAACTGTTACACATGTTTTATATCTTTAACGTATACACAATTTAACACCAATTTGTGAGCCTAAAAGAGATTAAACGAAACTTATCTATATCTGGTGTAAAATGAAACTTTGCAATTTGTTATGAAATATGTCATTGTAAATGACAAACTGAAGTTGTGAAAGCTTATAATATTGTCTTGACTGTGCAAGTGTTTTTGTGAGATGTTTGACTTTGTCCGGTGTGGCAGTAAGCCCAGGACTTTCTTAATACCTGTAATATCTGTAACCTGTGATAAATTTGTTCATAATAGATCATTATATTAGATTTTTACACCTGAATGCTGAATTTTTGACGTACTGGAGATAGATTTATACTTCTTTGGATATAAATATTGTTTTTGTTTTATAATTTCTAATCATTTCAATCATATCAACTACATATTTGGTCATTAATAATAGAGAAGTATTAGTTTAAAAAAATCATTGTTTTTTCCCTACATTTTTTGGCCGTCAAAAGAATCTTCTGTGTTTGAGATCTGTTGTTTATGTATAAACAGTATATCTATTTCTCTCAGTATTTGTGATTCTCATGAAGTTTTATGTTGAATATAAAGCAGGTGCATTTTTTTCCACACTTATTTACTTTGCTGAAGAAAACATCAAATTTCGTATTAATCATTTGTAATTTAAAAGATGCCTATGAATAAAATAATTTTTATTTTCAATCAAGTCTTCAGTGTTTTATCTTTCACAAAGTTGCTGTAAATGAAAGTGAACAATGAGGAAAGAAAAAAAAGTATTAGTTAAACTACCAATTTTTAAGCAGGTACATGTAATTTATCTGAATTATTACCCCCCCCCCCCCAATTTTTTGGTCAGTTTAGGGTTTGTTTTTTTAAACGTTGACACGCCTGCCATTACCAACAAGATGACTGTGTTTGACAGTGTTTGTATCCTTATTCCTCTGTCTTTCCCTGTAGTTCCCAGAGCTGTCATGACTCTTCAAATGGATTGTGCAGAAAATCCCCTGCAGCCAATTTCTACAGGAAATACGCATGCACTCCATCCTTTGCTGTGTACTTCGTCTGCCAGATCTTGATATTGTAATAGTGTGAATTATGCTTGTTAAATAAATGTTTTAAAGTAAATGTGAATAAGTTCAACTACCATAAAAAATAAAACTTAAAAAGTTGGATCACCCCTAGCCCTACCTGTAATCAATTACCTTAGGGCAGGTTAAAAGGTTTGGAAGTTTGAATGGAATCTGTTGGTAGTTTGTTTGTGAAGTTAGATATCAAAGCTTCAGACGTGAAAGAGTTTTTATTTAAAAGGGTTTTGATACCTTGAACATGCATCAAAACAATGCACCAACTTTATTTGAATGCTTTGTAGTTTCTTGCAATGTGTTGTACTCAGAACCATTCAAAAATATGTTCAAATATGTATACAAATTATTACTGGCATTGCAATCCACATTATTCCAGGTAATTTATTATGTTCATATTACACAAAAACACTTTTAACATATGAACGTGTTCATTCAATAATGCCCCAATATATGGACATCTACCCTCAAAATATTTTTTAACATTACAATTTGGAAAATTATAGGAAAATTGTAAATTTAGAAATTGCACATGAACTTTGTATAAGATGCTGTATAACATGCCATTTTGACTTGCCGTTGAAAAACTTCAATAAATATTCATGGTTAAAATTGCAAATTTTCAATTTATTTGACGAGTTTCATTTTTCCAACTTTGGAAAAATTTTTATTGTAAAAATTTCCATATGCTAATAATATATGATTTGGTCAGGTTTTAGTTTAGTAATTTATCCGAGTCACAATTTTATTTTGCTTCTAACACCTTATGACATTGACTTAAACTTTTAACTTTTTCATTTACTTAAAATTTTTATTGATAATATATATAGGCAAACAGGGCTCTTGACTTAGGTTATGAAAGTCATGAGTGGATCCAGAATTCTGTTCTAAGGAGGGGAGGAGGGTCCATACGTATTGAAAATTAAAAAAGAAAAGATGTGTTTGTGAAACACTGATGCCCCCGTATGGCAACTTACAGCGAAGGTTCAACTTTCTCAAATGCAAATCAAATATATTGGTAACCAAAGTACGGTCTTGCCCCAAGGAAAATATCTGTGAAATATGGAAGCCCTAGCAGCAACCATTGAAAAGAAAGCCCTAGCAGCAACCATTGAAAAGATATGGAGAAGGTTGACGTTTTTCAAAAGTAAGTCAAACGTCAAGGTCAAGGTCAAATTGTCAAAATTAATGGTGCCCAGGGAAAGACCTTCTCCAAAGAAATACACACGTGAATTATGAAAGCTCTAGAACCAACCGTTCAAAAGTTATGGCCAAGGTTAAAGTTTTACGAAAGTAGGTCTAACTCCTAGGTCAAGATCAAAGAGTCAAAGTTGTTGGTGTCCAAAGGAAGGTTTTATCACAAGGATTACATATGTGAAGTATGAAAGCCCTAGCACCAATTGTTCAATTGTTCAAAAGTTACGGCCAAGGTTCGGTAAGTTCGGTAAAATTTTGCAAAAACTGGGTCAAACTTTAAGGGCAAGGTCAAAGGGTCAAAGTTGATGGTACCCGAAGAAAGGTCTTGCCACAAGGTATACACATGTGAAATATGAAAGCCATAGCTCCAACCAATCAAAAGTTATGGGCAATGTCTAAGTTTTTGCGGACAAACACACAGACAAACGGACGGGCGGGCAGGGCAAAAACTATATACTTAGTACCCCCGAATCTTCCATACGGGGGCATAAAAATACCTTTATTCTCACGTTTAGTCTGAGTTATACATTGCTGTAATAAGCCTTTTTCGGATACTGATGTGTCAGTTCCCTTAGGTCTTTTAGCTTGTTCCACATTTTGTACCCCTGGGAATCGGAAAAGAGTAAAAATTGGTCTCTCTTTCTATATCCCTCTTTAACATTTCCTATCTGCATTTTCGATTTGAACATCTGCTCTATCCATTTTTCGAGATGGAAATTTCTACTTTAATCATAAGCACTTCCCATCTTAATTTATAATATCTTTTTGACATGGCACTCGCTATCAGTTAATCTCCCTTGTGCATCATGACTTCAGTATAGTAATTAAAATGTTATCTTTAGTCTCAGTTTGATAAGGAAATTCATACTTGACACTTTCCAAACTTGTGGTGTAATATTTTAATACACCATCAACAAGAATTATTTGTTTTTGCAACATATATTTGAGGCTGTTATTAATATTTAATCGGTGGACGGTATTGAACATAAACCATATTGAAAATCAGTAGCTAAAATATGGCACATTTACTTAGATATTTCGTGCTTTGCCTGTTAAGCGAGTTTTTAATTGTTTTTTCATTGTCGAACAACCACAATACTAGTATTGGAAATATTACTGGAGGCTTAGTGACCGATGATGCACTGGAAAAGTCCGGTATTTTACGTCAGCTTCTAAACCAAGAGACCATTATTCGAATGGCTCTAGTACAAAACGTCCACTCTTTAATGAAGGACATCTTGACAATTAAGAATTCCATGCTCGTCTCGGAAACAGCTATGGGAAAATTCAAACTTGCAACCGAAAAAACTATTTTTCAATTAGAAGCAGAAGTTGAAAAGCTAAAATGGGAAAATCAGCGTCTAAGGAACGATAATGCAGAGATTCAAAGAAAATTAATTCCTTGTGTGAATGGAACATCTCAAACAGTCCAAGACTCAATTTCAGAAATGCGAAGAAATTTTGACACAAAGTTTATACAACTTGATTCAGAGTTACAGACGATCCAAGCAAGGAAAGCAAATGTATCATCCATTGCAACTTTAGAGACATCCTTGTCATACATTTCAACTCAAGTTGGAAGTAAGTACTGTGTACAACCTAGACTTTTACCAGTTTTATGATCCCTAAGGTTTATTGTGTTATAGAACAATGTGTAATAATTAGAGCTGTCCAAATAGAACTAATCAGCATGCTTGGGCAACATTGGTTAATTTTTTTAAATTTTTTTCCCAAACAATCTGAGTTTGAATTAAATTGAATTTTATTAATCTCATCACATTTTTAGTATTACATAGAAAAACAATAACAACCCTTTAAAAAAGTCTCTTGGAATGCATGGTTATTAATATTGACGAAATACCAGAGTTATAGATATTTTGAATACGTGGTGAGCACGTTTTGAAAATATTTTAATAAACAAACACGATTCTCTGAAAAAAGGATTGCTTGTTTGAATAATTTTTCTAAATGAAAAAGTATTTTTGAATCGTACCCTATGCTCTGCTGATAAATACTGGTGTTTCATTTATCAGTGTGTGCAATTAAATTCTTAGTGAAATTCGTCGCAAATTTCATCATGTTCATTAAAATTACTATTTTTTAAAAATAATCTGACTTTTCTCGGTTCATTTTATTAGCATCCAATTCGTAAGTAATTTGAGGTTTCTCCAAAGGGCGTATTCCCTGCGTAGTGTATAGTGTGAATGGCAGTGATGCAATTGTAGTTGTAAGTTGCAATATAATGATCGAAATACTAGGTAGTATTAGATGACACAGGATTTTATCCTGATAGTGATAGGATCAGTCTTTACAATTCTTATGTGTTGCTTCAGTTGTAGAAAACTGGAGAAGAATATTTCAGAGTAACAGTCTCGGTTCTAACTATATGTTTCTTATGGCCATAGTTTCACCTAAACTGGACGTTTATTTTATACTTGCATCCCTGTCATCGTGACTTTAATTTGAACAAGATTTGTGAAATGCTGATGCCCCCGTATGACAGCTTATGGCAAAAGTTTAAAGTTTCTCAAATGCAAGTAAAACGTCAAGGTCAGGGGATGCCCCAAAGAAAGGTTTATCTCAGGAAATAAACTGTGAAAATATGAAAACCCTAGCCCCAGTCGTTGAAAAGTTGTGGAAAATGTTAAAGGGTTTTGAAAAGTAAGTGAAACGTCAAGTCAAGTGGTCAAAATTAATTGTGCCTAAGGGAAGGTCATGTCGCAAGAAATGCATATGTGAAATATGAAAGCCCTAGCAACAACCATTCAAAAGGTATGGACAATGTTAAACTTTTTTTTTCAAAAGAAGATTAAACTCCAAGGTCAAATGTAATGATTGTTCATGTACAAAGGAAGGTCTTGATACAGAAAACACACATGTGATATATGAAAGCCCTAGCACCAACTGTTAAAAAGTTATGATCAAGGTAAAAGTTTTCTCAAAAGTGGGTCAAACTCAAAGATCAAGGTCATAGGGTCAAGATTCTTGGTATCCAATGAAAGGTCTTGTCGCAAGGAATACACCTGTGAAATATAAAAGCCCTAGTACTACCCGTTCAAAATCTATTGCCAAGGTTAAAGTTTTTAAAAGTGAGTCAAATTCTTATTAAGGTCAAGGTCAAAAAGTCAAAAATATTTATACTCAAGGAAAGGTCTTATCATAAGGAATACAGTTGAAAAGTATGAAAGCCGTAGCACCAACTGTTCGAAAGTTATTGTTAAAAATGGTCAAAAGGTTAAAATTTGGTAAAAGTCAAGAGGGCAAATATATTGGTACCAAAAAAGGTCTTGTCACAAGGAATGTACTTGTGAAATATTAAAGTCATAGCTCCAATATAATGCATAGATTTTTCCCTTTTGGGTAAGGTGAATTTATTTGAATTTATTTGATTAAGAGTCATAAAAACAATAAGATCGTAAGCAGTCTCTGTGCTTTGTAAAAGTTTCTAATGCTTCTCAATTACAGAGTTATAGTCCGGATTCGAAATGAAACGGACAAATAGACGGACGAACGATCAAATTCTGAATAGCCTTAAAGCTTTGCAATGGTGGTGGAGGTGGTTGTAATGGGGAAGAAGGAGGGGTATTATGGATATCATGAATTGCATGTAGATCTTGATGAAAATATTCCAGAGCTACAAAATTTTCGTCATCAAGAAACACACACCCTTGACACTGAAAAAATTAAAATAAATGGGAAAATAATTTGGACTGTGGTTGGTGATGAGGTTGAAAAAATAAGAGTTTTCAAGGGAAAAAGATATTTGAAAAGTTCTGCGAAAAGAGGTGTTAACTTTTCGGCCAAGGCATGCCATTCACCAGCTCCCCGTTGCAAAGATGGTAGTTTAAGTCGGCCAGTCATGAGCCGTTTATACACAGTGTATATTAATAGAGATATGCATATGAACACCCAGATAAATGGAATTTTAATGCTCTAATTGTTTTTATGCCCCCATAACGAAGATTCGGAGGCATGTAGTTTTCGCCCTGTCCGTTCGTCTGTCTGTCCGCAAAAAACTTTAACCTTGGCGATAACTTTTGATTGGTTATAGCTATGGTTTTAATATTTCATATGTATATGCCTTGTGACAAGACCTTTCTTTGAGAACCAACATATCTGACCTGTTGACTCTGACCTTCGAGTTTGACCCATTTTCAAAATTTTACCACACTTTAATCCTGGCCATAACTTTTGAATGGTTTGTGCTAAGGCTTTCATACTTCACATGTGAATTCATTTTGATAAGACCTGCTGAGGCCTGTTAAACAGAGCGAACGTTCACAAGCGCTAGCGAACATTTCTGTTTGAGGGATATGGAATTTTGGCGAGCGCTCGCATACGTTCGCTCTGTTGAACAGGCCTCTTTTCTGTGGTACAAATATTTTTTACCTCTTGACGTTGGAGTGACCTACAAAAACTTTCGCAATAACTTTTGAACGATTGGTACTAGGAGTTTCACAGGTGTATTCTTTGTGAAAAGACCTTCACTTGGTTTGGGTACAAACAATTTTGAACCTTTGACCTTGACCTTAAGTCTGATCTACTTTCGAAAATCTTTAACCTTGGCAATAACATTTGAACAGTTGAAGCTAGGGCTTTCATATCTCACAAATGTATTCCTTATGACAAGACCTCCTTGGGTACTTACAATTTTGATTTTGTTCTACCTTAGGAGTTTCACTTGCATTTAAGAGATTTTAACTTTCGCCATGAGCTTCATTACGGGGGCATCAGTGTTTCACAAACACATATTGTAAATGTTATATTATAATTCAGTTATCAATATAAACATTCATTGCATAGTTTTATTTAGAAAAGTAAAGTTTTCCCAAAGAAATGCATGTTGTAGCGTATTTTTGAAAAGTAGGTCAAAGGTCACGTTGATTGTGATACTGGAATTTTTCAAAATGCCGAATGACAAGCAGTGCATGCAAATAACACATGTGCAGGCGTACATATACTTCTCAAAGGACAAAGAGTATACTGTACATGTATATCGGCACTGTGAAGAATTTTTAAAGTAGGTTAAAAGTCAAGTTTGAGGTCAAAAGGACGGTGACTTTAGTAATGTTCCAAAGAAATACAAGTGCAAAAAATCAAATCGCTACCTCTAACAGTTCTCAAGTATGAGGAGTAGCTGACGGGCACATAGACGGACAGAAGGACAAATGTCGGACATAGTGATCACTATGTTTCGCTCTCCCTGTAGACAATCAGGATTTCATTAAATATTTCATTTATTGACAGTATCCATGTATTTTAAAAGTCACTGAATCATGATTAACTAATAAACATTACTTATCTTACAGACCTGTCAAAGAGTGTGGCTTTCACAGCTGGAACAACGGTTACTACAACTTCTTGGAAAAGTGGGACATTAGTATTCGATAAAGTTATTAACAGCGTGGGAGGAGGGTATAACCCCCACACCGGAATCTTCACCGCACCAGTAAAAGGGCATTATGTGTTCTTTGTCAGTATCGTAAATGACGGCGTACGGTCTATATATGTAGACATAGTGTTAAACGGATCTTGTAAAATCCAAGCAATGGCTGTCTCTTTTAATACTAACGATCGATACGAGACAGGTACAAACCTTGTAATATTACATCTGCAGCAGGGGGACGCCGTATGGGTAAAACATCACCGTGGTACTGGCTATTACACCTACAGTGACGCTCCTGTAACAACGTTTTCTGGATTTCTAATTTAAACTTTTATCTTTCCATAAATTGGCATAGTATATGAAATAGAATATACACTTTTAACTTATTCAAATAAAACGTGTTTTTTGTTGCCTCTCATTCAGTTATATTGACTTAGATAAAAGACTACTACGCAGAATTGTGCGTATATTAGAAGTGTAAAATTTATTAATCGGAGGTATATTTTTTTTTTTTACTTCGTTATGATGATATATAGTGTTACATAGTTTTTAAATTGTCAACAGGTGGAGTTGCCTACGAGAGTTGCTTTTTACTGCTGCTGTTACCTCTCGCGCAACCTCATGAATTTTCACCGCACCAACAAATTCTTGTGTTCTGTACGTTATATCCATAGATACAGTGACAACGGTGCATATGTAGATTGCGTTAAATATTTCTGGCAAGATCGGAGAATGGCGTCTATATATAGCTCTGTCAATTTTGTTTTTGTTTTTGCTTTTTTTTTTTTTTGGAAACAGATATTTACCTTAAGTTTTAACATTATGGCTACAGGTATGCAATACTAGTGAGAATAGACCTGTTTTCAAGTAGGGCTGTCATAAAAGTGAGCAAATAGACTATGAATACTTTTCTCTAGATGCTAGTGTATACATGTTGTTATACTATATAAGGATCTGAGAAATAAATAATGATAAATTATTTTTTTTTAAAAACATTATGGCTACATCAGAATGACACGGCATGGGTAAAGCATTATAAAAACCTTTAATGACATAAATCCGCTTGATAAAATAAAGAACATTAAGCGACGTAGCTGCATTGCTTAATAATATCAATTCTTGTATTTTAGGTCTACAGTATGAACTGTTAATGATACAACGTCTACTCATGATACAAAATCCTTAAGCGTTATAC